CYYMMCSMMCRWCCCTCACAACTCAAATATTCCGTCCTGCTGCTAAMGTTTTCATTAACACTATTGTATCTCAGTTTGAATAAAGAATAATATATCAGAGTGTATTAAATCACTCAGAACAAAGATTTAACAGATAAACTAGAAGTCACACCGTGTTATATTTGTATCCAGGGCAAAACGATCGAGTTGAGAGGATGCGATACTGCAGAAGAYCTCTTTCCTGTTGTTATCCCTAAGTACAGCCTACGAACCATGTTGGAGCCAGACCTTGATAAGGATGAACCAAATATGGGCGTTGATACTCTAGTGCTGTATGCTAGTAATAAAGCAGTGGATTATCGGCCTATTGAACAGTCGTGTATAAGGACAGACCCTGAATTACTGCCCAGGGGCAGGGGCGAAGCATGGGTAAGAAATGGTTGTGGGTTTTTTTTGTGTCTACTCTTCAGCATTTCTCTGTCGTTGCTTTTCCGGCGAAGGTAAAACGTCAAATGAGCTTTTGAAAAGTGCGATAATGCTGATGTTGTTTCTTGACTAGTTTTGGCGTTCGCAGTAACTGTTGCAAGGTTCAATTGTAAGGATTCGTTCTGATTTGCTGGTCGTTTATTAGTCCTGAAGTATACGGTAGAAGCTAATTTACAAACTATGTGTTTAGTTCGTTTAATACAAGCTGGTTGAGAAAGAAAGACGTTCCGCAGACGGAGTACTGAAGCATATTTTTCCTTAGTTTCCTTCTTTGGTCTGTACTTTTCTAATACGATCTAGACTATACGGCCACTGTTGGCCCGCAACTTAAATACAATATGAGATCATGTCTCGTGAATTCCGAGTAGAGGTTGTCGTACGACCTTCATATATGGATGTCSATATGCATGGCTCTAATGTACCTATAGAAAGGCTCTCATGGCCTATAGAAGGTTCATTAATTATATATTCAATCTTATGTTTATATACGTGGTTATTCATGCATTCCAGTGCTATAAGTCAGTCCTTTTATAATTCTAGACCAAATATGATATCCTGTTCTCATCAAATTCCTAGTCAAAACTAAAACGATGCGTGGTCTTAACTATAAGAGGGTCTGCCACACATGAAACCACATATAACTACAATCAAAACAGTCTAGAACTGTAATGTAAACATATCGTGTAAACATATCGAAATGTACAAGTTCTAAGAAAGAGACTTTTCATAAACTAATTTAAAATTTACAAATAACAAATATTCAAATTCTATTGTCTAAGACCGAGAATCTATCTGTTCCAATTTTGTCTGTAATGAACGACATTCTTCTTTTCTTCGTTGCAGCATCCTTTAAGTAATTTGGACGACTTTTTGATGCTTAGGAAGAGACCAGTACCTGATAATGAACTGGAGCAAGACTGCAAGTACTTCATTCAAAGAATAGACATCCCAATTAGTAAAAYCTGGACCACGTGACCGTGTTTTTTTTAACCATGCAGAACTATTTTTAGTTTTTAGTCATACAAATGACTGTCGACATACAATTATATCGATTTGTTTTAATAGGCTATATTGATATGCTGCTCTATATTTCGTGGTATACAAATCAATAGACTATTGGTCTTTGTACGTACCAAARACAAATGAAGTCTGATCAAACTCGGCACCTTTATGCATTTAATAAATGCTACTCTATCCAATTAGGCCGCCTCGATCGAATTCTGTGTACGCGCTCTTAGAGCGTCTTGATATAAAGATTGAAACTGTAATTTTCAGAAGTAGTCAATTGTAATTCTGCATCCAATATGACGAGGTAACATAAAGGTTAGCCTGCGTAGCTGGCCCTTTTAAGAGGGGCCTGGGGAGGAGAGGAAAGAAAAAGGGCCTGCGGACAAAGGTATACAAATTTGAGTCACTTATTTGGAAATTTACTTAGATCAGGGTCCGTGCAGAGTATCAAAACCGAAATTTAAGGACTTTTAAAGGACTTTTCAAGGACCAAAATTGTATTTTCAAGGAACATCATAATCATGCTAATTGTACATTCTTACCTCACAACTCCAGTCGAACGGAATAATTCAGAGATCGCTCGCGCCTCGAGATAGAGATCTATCTTTTTCAAGGAGTTTTCAAGGACTTTTTCAAAATTTTCAAATTTTCAAGGAGTTTCAAGTGCCCTTGAAAACGAGTTTTCAATTCAAGCACTTTTCAAGGATTTAAGGACCTGCACGGACCCTGTTAGATTTACAGCGCGAATCCAATAACAGCTCGGTCATTTTAGCATGTTTTCAAAGGCAAGAGACGAACGTAGCATTTAGTAGCAATATAATCTGATGTTGTTTATTATAAGTCGTTATCTTTCTATGATTTTACAGTATGATGGAGTCAGCGGTTTCACGCTGAAACATACATTGATTACAGCATTTATTAAAAATATAACAATGATGAATGAATCACTTTATRAAACGTTTTACTGTTCCTCGACAAAATTGGCAGGAAAGAGTCCTCTTTGCCCATTGAAAGTACCCATCCACCATCCTTCATCGATCTTCTCGACGTCAGTGATGACGTCACCAGGATCGAAGGAGATTTCGTCCTCACCAGCTGAAGAGAAAAAAAAGAATTAATGGGAACAATGATGATAAATTATATCAGTRGTAAATGACGTTGACTAAGTCGATAAGACAACCACCATTACACAATATYAGAGAGAGAAGCATAAATTCGACATTCTGATTGGCTACTTGACCTCACTCTATTAGTCATAGTATCATAGACCTACAATGTAAATGTTGTCACTTTATGGATTTACTGATAATTCGTCATTGAAATAAACCGATTTAATTGGTTTATATGAAGCGCCGAGAGACAGATCAGTTGATAAGGGGGCTGTATTCAAACATTGCTAAAATAAGCATAGCTTACCTGCTTGATAGTCATACAACGCAGTGACCGTRATTCCACTGGAGACCTGGGGAAGAAACATTTGATTTATTCCGACAAACAGTTTAAAGACATGCATTAGGATTTTTTTATGAATCTAAAATCACTAAGACTAAGAATATTGAAAGGAGACCGAAAGAAACGCATTGTCCCAAGGAAAAGTTTGGTTTGACATACTTCATCTGTTTCTGGGGCAACAGCTTCTGCAGAATCGTACAAGTCATCAGCATCTTGTTGTGCATATTGTTGTGATGCATCTGCCTCCCTTCTAGCCTGTTCTTCTGCATCCCTTCTAGCCTGTTCTTCTTCCTCCCGTCTAGCCTGTTCTTCTGCCTCCCGTCTAGCCTGCTCCTCTTCTCGCTCAGCTTCTTCGGCCGCTTCACGTCGTGCGTTTTCCTCGGCTTGCAGGCGTTCTTCCTCTTCACGCTCTTCTTCTTCCCGGGCAGCCTCCTAAAACACGACCAATAACATGGTAAAGACAAAACGATGGCTATGATATATTGATACCGAGGTCTCTCACCCTTTCCTGTCTCTTCTGAGCCGCTTCTCTCTCACGTTCTTCCTTAGCGAGACGTC